GTTCAAACTTGAATGAGTTTGGTTCATCGTCCAATCGACAATTTCACATTCAAAACCAAACCAAACTACCTCGTTCATTTATGGGTTGGGTTGAGTTCGCGGGTTATGTTCCAAATAAAAAATATTTTTTAGTTATTAAACAAATTGTAACACAATTCAATACAATTACATTCATTTATATGTCTTAAATTGGATGAAACACATTATATAATGTTAATAAAACTCATTCATATGATATGACAATTGATAATAGTAGAAAATTTCAAAAGACATGTTATTTCTATAAAATACGTAAGTTGAAATGATAAAAAAGAGAAACAACACTTATTCTTAGAATTACATAAACGTATTGGTCTATAGTTGTTCTGGACTGGGGCTGCCCCACCGTCGGGCACGACCTAACTCAGCTCCACGTCGGGGAAGACCCAACACAAAGGCCCCAGTTTGCATAACCGCTGGAGACCACACACCCCACACGTTCATCACACGTTCTGCACGTGCTCTCCATGCGGGAACATGTCATCAGCCAACTACAAACGTTCAAGAGAACAAGTCCTCCACTTCCCGGAGTTCGTGCAACAGTTGGTCCAGGACGAAGACCACATGCGGGTCTTCCCTACTGCCACATAAGATCCTGATGGTCATCTGTTGTGGACCTTGCAATCCAGCCCAAAGCAGATGACCGTTGGCCCAGCGCTGAGGGCACCTTATAAATACCCTCCTCCACAGGAGAGTCAGGTATTCAAAATTCACTCGCTTTCTGTACTTGCTCTTTCTTTCACTCACTTTCTCACTTTGACATCAGAGTGTCTTGCAGGTACACCCTCTCCTTTTTTCCACCACGGGCGAACTTGAAGCTCACGACGTGTTGCTGACTGCTGATCCCCTTTCTGATCCGGTAAGTTCAATAGTAATATTGATGTTTTATTTTTTGGAAAAATTATGGTTCGTAGTGAAATATTAATTTTATATTTTTATTTAAAATAATAATAAAAAATAAGAAATCATTAATGTCACATCAATAGGTTAGATTAACGAGTTAGCGGATTGAGAAACTCAAATCCGATAACCGAACGAAAATTATACTGGTTGTTATGGGTTGGGTTGGGTATATCCATAAATGAACGTGTTCAGGTAATTTATGAGTTGGTTCGATTTGGGTCATCGGGTTCGTTGATCGACTCATACCCATGAACACCCCAGATAAGGGTATATGTAAAAATGGAAAAGAGGTGTTGATGGCAACATTTTCAGGTCTAATATGGTTCAAAGGTGATGAAGATATACCTGCCCAAGACCTGCCCAATTAATCCAGAGCCCCTATTTAATTTAAAAAATAGGTCTAAAAATATGAATTTATACCTTTTTTTAAAAAAATAAATTAAAATTATAAATTTTAAAAATAAATTATGATTTTACACCAATTTTTTTTCTTAAAAACAATTGTAAAATAGATTTTGAAAACAAATATAATTTCACACTTATTTTTAAAAATAGATGTAAAATATATATTTTTTAATAATTAAAAAAAAAAGATGACCCTTTAGAATTTGGGTCTAGTGTTGTAGCACACTGCACTGAACCCGCTCTATACGTGCACAAACTATATTCTATGATAAAAATACATACAATAAGAGAGAAGTAGTAAAAAATATTAAGATTCAAAAGTTTTTAAATTAAAGAGACGCAATATTATTCACATTTTTAAATATTTGATTTTATTAAATATTAGGAATAAAAATAAGTAAGGTTTGGACAAGGTACTATAGTACTTATGCTCATACATATTAAAAGTGACAATTGGATCCATTAAGACAAAATTCATTCAATCCGTTCATTAAAAAATTCATCTAATACATTCATCATATAAAAAATAAGTTAATGGATTTGATTAAATACATCCATTTATAGCATATTTAATGGGAGTAAACTAAATGGGTAAACTAAGATATTTTTTGTGGGTCCAAAGTGTTTTGTAGAATTTAAAAAATTTATAGTTGATTTGAGTAGTTTTTACGCATAGATGGATTCAATCCATCCAACATAATTAAAAATGGATCTTTTTTAAATCGATTTTTTTCCATTAAAAAAATCGGAATTTTTCCAACAAAAAAAAACTGATTTTTCCTTAAAAAAATGATTTTTTTTTCAAAAAAAAAATGAATTATTTTCCGAAACAAAAAAACAATTTTTTTTTAATAAAAGAAATAGATTTTCTTCTCGAAAAAAACGAAATTTTTTCCGAAACAAAAAACTGATTTTTTAAAATTAAAAAAAAAAAGATTTTCTTCCAAAAAAACAATTTTTCTTTTTTTAATTAAAATATCAATTTTCTGAAAAATACAAGAAATTCAAATTTTCCCAAAAAAACTGACTTTTTTTATGAAAAGAAACCAATATTTTTCAAAAATTAAAATTTCAAATTTTTTTTGAAAATACAAAAAATGAATTTTTTAAACAAAAATTTCAATTTTTTCATGAATATATTAAAAATATATTTTTTTAAATACAAAAAATAAATTTTTCGAAAATAAAATAAAATTAATTTTTTAAAAATAAAAAAATATATTTATTTTTTCGAAATAAAAAAAAAAAGTTGGATGGATGAATATACATCCATTAAAAATATGTTAATGGATGGATTTGATGAACTTTATTCTTAATGGATAGATTGAATTAGATAATTCTAAAAAAAATTTAATGGATTGTTAATGGACTAATGGATTGTTTTGATCCATCCATTAACAATCCAATTCATATTCATCCAATCTATCCATTTTGCCACCTCTAATACATATATTTGAAAAAAATTCTCGTATCCAAACCGAGACACATAAAAACCAATTCTTATATATTTGTATATATTCTATTAGTACCTAAATATATTGTTAGTTATATTATAAAATATTATTTGTTTTTTTTTATTATTTTAAATTTTAATTAAAGTATTATATTTTTAATCTTTATAAATATACCAATTTTATTACTGTAATCATAGTTTTATTTCACTTTATTTTATTTTATTCAAGTCTACACAAATTTTATCCATATTGAAACTAAAGCACATATATATTATTTAACTTCTATTAAGAGCTTACTATAAATTTACCCAATACCCCTACATTTATACAAATTTCCTTACATTTTTAAAAAAAATACTCATTTTATCCTTATATATTTTAATTTTTTTTTTTTTTACTTTTTAGATTTTTCAGTCTTCCGAAAAATTCATCCCACGATCTATCGGAACACTTTGAAAATGACTTTTGGTAGGTTTTTTTTTTCTCAAACCGGAAGACTTAGACAAAGAGTTCCGGTTCACAAAAATACTGTACCGAAAGACTTCAGGAAAGACTTCCGGTTTGGTAATTTTCGTGAATGTTCACCGGAAGACTTGTAAAAAGTCTTCCGGTTTGTTTTTTGGCTACCGAAACACTTGCTACAAGTGTTCCGGTTTGACTTGTCCAATTTTTTTTTATAATTATTTTTGATTTTTTTATGTAATTATTTCAGAAACTCCTTTACAAATATGCGATAAAGATCATATATCAGTAGATACGTCTGATGTTTCTTCAACAACTCAGAGATTTGGTACACGAGAAGAGGTTTCAGACATTCCTTTACAAATATGCGATAAAGATCAGATATGCTTAGATACGTCTGATTTTTTTTCAACAACTCAAAGATTTGGTACACGAGAAGAGGCAATAAGATGGATTAAAGAGATCGGAATCCAAAATAAAGTTACGGTTATCATCACTCATTCAGATATTAAAACAGACAAGAGAGGAAGAAGTAACAAATTAATATTTGGATGTGATAAAGGAGGAAAACACAGAGATATTGATAGTGGAACCCAGAGTGCGACGAAAAAATGTGGATGTCCATTTAGAATCAGATCGATTCCAGCGGCTGATGGATCTGGATGGAAGATTGATGTAAAATGTGGAGTTCATAACCATGGTTTACCTGATAGATTAGTAGGTCACGCATTTGTCGGTAGGTTGACAACGAATCAGAAGCAACATGTTGTTGATTTGACAAAGAGAAAGGTTCCACCTAGACATATATTGCTTTCATTGCAAGAGCAAGATCTAGATAATGTCACTCGGATTACGCAAATATACAAACAGAAGAGTATGATAGAAAAAAATATAAGAGGTCCTAGAAGTGAGATACAACATTTGTTTAAGCTTATTGAGGAAGCAGGTTATGTTTATTGGAGTAGAAAAAGAGATGACTCTGAAGTAATTAGAGATATCTTTTAGGCTCATCCAGATTCAGTTAAGTTGTTGAATATTTTTCCTATTGTGCTAGTTATGGACAACACTTACAAGACAAACAAATATAGGCAACCTCTGTTTGAAATAGTTGGCATGACATCAACCGAGTTGACTTTTGTTGTCGCATTTGCCTATATTGAGTATGAGCAAACTGAGACTTTTTGTTGGGTGCTAGATAAGCTTAAACAATTGTTTGTGAAGAAAGAGTTGTGTCCACAAGTGATTTTGACAGATAGAGATCTTGCTTTGATCAAAGTCATTGAAATTGTGTTTCCAAGGTCGATCAATATGCTATGTCGATTTCATATTAACAAGAATGTTGGTGCAAAACGGAAACAATATGTGGCTAGTGACATGCAAAAGAAAATTGACGAATTATGGACGGATGTTGTATGGGCTAGTGATGAGGTTGAGTATGATCAAAGGTTGAACCAACTTGAGCAGGCGTGTGTTGATTGTAATGAATTTATTGATTATGTGAAGGACACATGGTTGACACCACATAGACAAAGATTTGCTGGAGCATGGATTAATCGAGTGCTACATTTGGGTAAGACTACGACTAATTGGTATGTATTTAATTTTAGTATTTCTAAATTGTATTTTTGTTTTTTTGAATTTTTTTAAAATATTTTAAATATGTATTAATTTTAGGGTTGAGTCTGCTCATTAGAAGTTAAAGCAAATGTTGGGGAACAGTATTGGTGACATGGTCAAATGTTGGGGAACAGTATTGGTGACATGGTCAAATGTTGGGAGGCTATGAATGACAACTTAATGTTACAATTGAGTAATATTAGAGCTTCTTTTCAAAAGAGTTTTTATGAAGTTGAGCACGCCCACGTAACTCCATTTTACAATAATTTACGTGGTTCAGTGTCTCGAGATGCATTGAGACGTATTGCTGAAGAGTTAAAACGAGTTGATTATGTTGGAACTAACAAGGAAATATGTCATTGTACTCTTAGAACAACCTACGGATTACCTTGTGCTTGTGAGTTGACAGGATATAGAATTGATGGTTTACCGATGCCAATAGATGTTGTACATGTTCATTGGAGAAAACTAAGTATGGAAGTTAAGTTGGACGAAGATGTAGATGATGGATCAGAAGTGGATATGAGTAGTGCAATAGATGAGTCATTGGAAAAGGTTTAAGTCACTGGATGTTGTTGGGAAAAAGGCATTAAAAAGTAGGGTTTTTGAACTTGCCTTCCCTACAATGACTTCCATGTGTCCACCACCTGAGAAAATAAAAACTAAAGGGGGAGTCAAGAAGAAAGACAAAAAACCACCACAATGACTTCCATGTGTCCACCACCACAATGACTTCCCTACAATGACTTCCATGTGTCCACCACCACGAGTATGTTGATCAAGCATCTCAATCTTCACAGATGCAATCTCAACCATCACAAAATTCGAAGAAATTTAAATTATCACAGTCTTCACAAAAGAAATCTCAACCATCACAGGCTTCAAAAAAGTTGAAATTATCACAATCTTCACAGTCATCTAAGCAGTTCATTCTTCAATTTCCTAATCACATCAGGTCATATATTGATGATGTAGTTAATGTTGTATCAGATGGTAATTGTGGATTTCGAGTCATTGCTTCATTGCATGGATATGGTGAAGATGGTTGGCCAATGGTTCATCGAGACTTGGGGTTGGAAATAATACATAATGAAAGATCAAGTTTGTATGTCAATTTATTTACTGATCAGTTAACAGTAGTGAGAGAATCTTTGATGATAGAGGAATTTGGTCCTCAGCCACCACATAAATGGTTAACTCTACCAGATATGGGTTACGTGATAGCGAATCGTTATAATGTTGTACTTGTCTGTTTAGGAATTGAATGTTGGACTTTCTTCCCTATGACATCTTCATTTTCACCGAATGTAGCAATTTACTGCATTGGTTTTGTAAACAGAAATCACTGGGTTCAGGTACTTAGTTATTTTTAGATAATGCGATTAAACCTAATTCTTTTTCGTTATTTTTACTTAATATTGCGAGTTATTTTTTTATTTAGGTAAACATGAAAGAAGAGTTTCCATTGCCACCAGTGACAGTAGATTGGAAGAAGTTTCGTTCTCCAGCAGCAACATCTTGGATGATAGGATTTGCAGGACGTCTACAACATTGGCAACAACTTACGCCTATATTACCAACGCATTATGAATTATAAATTATGTTACTCATTTTTAATTTCAAAACAAGAATCGTGAATTATGTTAATCGTTTTTAATTGCAAAAATGAATCGTGAATTATGTTACTCATTTTTTATTACAAAACATGAATCGTGAATTATGTTACTCGTTTTTAATTGCAAAACATGAATCGTGAATTATATTAACACATAAACATAAACTAAATAGGTCAAATTAGTCTAAAAGTTAACACATGAACATAAACCAATTAGGTCAAATGTGTCTAAAGGTTAACATATAATCATAAATATAAATAAAAGTCGTTGTGATAGACCAAGATGTAAAGCTTTGAACAAATCAGCAAACTGTGGGTCATCCTCTTCAGCACCAGTTTGCTGAAGATAACGATGTATCAATGAAGACATACGAGCCAATATAGGATCAGATGGTCCTGCTTCATATACAGGAACTGGCATCTCTATTGTCGCATCAATAATAGGCGGTACCAGACGAGGATGCGAAACACGATAATACCACTCAAGATACCCATCATCTGTCTCATATGGGGTGGTGGCCGGTGCTGTCGGACGAATCACATTCTGAACGCTCTGATGGTAACTAATCCAGTCAACATCAATATCACCAGCCATTCGAGAATCAAGAGGTGGATGTGGAACATACTGCCTGTATCCAAACTAACGCAAACATCTGTCAGGCATGTATGGAACAATAGTTTCACCCCACCTCAGACACCCCCTATAGAGACATAACTCATCATACTGACCCATACTCTATGATTCTCGAATGGGCGCCATATGACATCAGCAGATGTCAGCTCGTCCAGAATAGGCCGCAAGTCATCCACCTTCAAGGCACCTTGCCTATAGGACCATCTCATCACTCGTGGGAGACCCACATTATTAGCTGGTATCCGGTTCTCTTCTCTTTTCCCAAGTGTAGGAAAATACTCATGAATCCAGCACTGTTACAAAATTTAAAATAATTAATTATAACATAATAAACTAGATAAATAAAATTAATATACTAGATAAAATTAATTAAAACAAAATATACTAAATTAAAATAAATACCTGTAGGAGAGTCGGATAACCACCAAGCTGCTTACAACTGAACATGGAAGCATCTCCTAGATATCGGTAAAGAGTAACCAACGCAACAACTGCCCAACTGTATCCTGATAAGCCATCCAAGTCTATAAACGATGAGAGGTATCGTGCCTCGACAAGCGTAAACGTCTTGTCCTCAAAAATAGTGGAACCCACTAACATCAGCAAATAAGCTCTAGTGGCATAATTCCATCGAGATGCAGCTCTGTGCTCTACGAACCGATCATATAACCACTCTAGCTTATAGTAGGAACCCCTGCACTCACGGACTTGTTGCTGTGCTATTCTCTGTGACACTCCCAAATAATCAACAGCCCACTCAACGGCAAGCGCTTCACTGATATCTTGAGGGTTCCAGAAGACTCCCCTGATGGGCAAGTGAAGCAGGCAAGATACGTCATCTAGAGTAATCGTCATTTCATCAAACGACATGTGAAATGAAGATGTCTCTAGATGTCACCTCTCTGCAAAAGCGAAAACTAGGTTTGTGTCTATCTTTGTTAAACTGGTTCTCTGAAGTGAAGCTAGACCAGACCTAGATATCCAGCTCTTCATCTCTCTGGGTAACTGTAGTGGAACCCTCTGAGTCAACTTTAACCCATGTCCCGCCACCTTTAACTCTTTCTTCGACCCTCTCTCCTGAAAAAAATTAAAAGTAAAAATATTATAAAATTCAATATTAAAAATTCAAATTCTATTCAATATTAAATAATTTTCGTTTACTTACCTCACTGAACCATATACGGTATGCAACATGCTGTTCGTATTTAACTAACAGAGACGTATCATACGATCCTCAGGGATATCCAACCGGCTCGGATGCTGATGCAGATGCATCAAAATGCTCTTCTTCAGCCATCCTCGATGACTCGCCACGTCCTAGTCCACGAGGGATCCTACCATCTCTGTCTCTTGTGCGCACCACTGGAAAAAAAATCAATATAATTAAAAATTAAAAAATAAATAAATAAATAAATATAATTAGAAAACAAAAATAAAAAAAAATAAACCGGAAGTCTTCAAGAAAGACTTCCGGAGATGAAACGAAACATTGTGTGAACCGGATGTCTTTAGGAAAGACTACCGGTGACTAAACTAAAATTTTTTATGAACCGGAAGTGTTCAAAAAAGAGTTCCGGTGAACAAACTCAAAAGTTTGTGAATCGGAAGTCTTCATGAAAGAGTTCTGGTGAAGAAGCAAAAACAAAATACAAACCGGAAGACTTACTCTTAGTGTTCCGGAAGTGTTTGTGTAAGAGTTCCGGTTTGTAACAAAATTTGAGAGCTTCCGAAAGTCTTAAAATGGAAAGTGAGAAATGGAAGTGAAAAATGAAAAAATGTAAGATTATAGATATTTAACTAAGGGTATTTTGGTCCAATATTTTTGAGTGTAGGGGTGTGAGTATAAGGATAGGGGTATGGGATAAAACTTTTCTAATACATATGTTTTGAAAAAAATTCTCATATCCAAACCGAGACACATAAAAACCAATTCTTATATATTTGTATATATTCTATTAGTACCTAAATATATTGTTAGTTATATTATAAAATATTATTTATCTTTTTATTATTTTAAATTTTAATTAAAGTATTATATTTTTAATCTTTATAAATATACCAATTTTATTACTGTAATCATAGTTTTATTTCACTTTATTTTATTTTATTCAAGTCTACATAAATTTTATCCTATTGAAACTAAAGCACATATATATTATTTAACTTCTATTAAGAGCTTACTATTAGGACACATGTTAAAGAAATTTTAAAAATTTTTTTAAAAAAAAACAAAATTAATTTAAAATTTTAAATAAAAATAATATATCATTTTTAAGAAATTTGTTTTATATTTAATTCTTAAGTTTAACTTGCGTTATTAATGTATATGTAAGCATTATTTTAATTTAATAGATTAAAATTATCAATCAGCAATTCAGCACAATTTCAACCTTTTATTATTTTTAAAAGAAGAATATGCAATGTAACATATTTTAATTTATAAATTAATAAAGCGTAAAATCTATCGTATGAACGCCTAATACTGTTTTACAAGTGCATTATATTTAAACTTTTATTTAAAAAAACAAAAAAATATTCATCTATATATTCCATAAAAGTTTCATATCTTATCCCATCCACGTTTTACACCGCCTTATTTAGAGAAAAGCGCGTAACAGTTTTATTTTAATTGCATCATGGCCGTCCAATTTTCCTCCATCCGCGATAACACAGCCGCTAATCCCGATCCAACCTTCTATATAAACCTCTCTACCCTCATTCCGATATTCCAAAAATAGCTTGTTCTATCTTTCTCTCGTTTGGTTGGTGAATTTGAGGATTCTTGATGCAATGGATAAGAACGGAGAATGGCTTTAGAGAAATCAAGTTTCTTCAATTATTTTTATTTCTCGAATTTTCCAGATTGTTTGCTTCGTTGCTTCTTGATAGATGGCTGACAGTGTTTTCTTAATGGATTTGCGTTGCATCGTGTTTTCTTAATGCATTTGCGCTGCGTTTCTCAGATTGCTTATAGTGTTTCTGTAATGGATTTAGTTGCTTCGTGTGTTCTTAATGGATTTGCGCTGTGTTAATGCATTTGCGCTGCGTTTCTCAGATTGCTTATAGTGTTGACCTGTTTCCTTAATGGATTTGTGATGCTTCAGATTGTTGACCATTTCCTTAATGGATTTGTGATGCTTCAGATTGTTCTTAATGGATTTGCGATGCTTCAGATTGTTCTTAATGGATTTGCGATGCTTCAGATTGTTGACCTGTTTTCTTAATGGATTTGCGATGCTTCAGACTGTTGACCTGTTTTCTTGGCGAATCATTTGTCTAATTTTTAGATATAATATAATATATAAAGCATAT